CACAAACACACGTGTGCATGTGCCCCACGTGTGTGTGTGTGCACCCCGTGAACACGCGTGTGCACATGCCCCAAATGTGTGCATGCCATGAACACGCATGTGCGTGTGCTCCAGGAGTGTGTGTACCCCCTGTACACGTGTGTGGACGTGCCCCAGGTGTGTGTGTGTGTGTGCATGTCATGAACACGTGTGTGCACATGCCCCAAATGTGTGCGCCCCACGAACACGCGTGTGCATGTGCCCTATGTGTGTGTGCCCCCTGTACATGTGTGCATGTGCCCCACGAACACACGTGTGTGTGTGTGTGTGTGTGTGTGTGTGTGTGTGCGTGTGTGCCAACACACCCATCCACGAGGTGCTGCGCCTGCTCCCGGCGGAGATTCCGATGGGATCTGGACGTCCCACGGTTGATCTGCTCCACGGGAAGGCCCCTTCCTGACTCCATCAGCATTCCAGGAGCTCCGAGGGTGACGCCTGGAGCACCGGGATGCTCCGGAAGCCGCTGCCCGTGGGAACACGTGGAGCTGGATGGAGCCACGGCCACAAACCCCAGCGCCGGGCCCGGGAGGAGAGCGGGGTGGTGGAGGAATGAGGGCTGTGTCAGATCCCACAGTTTCGCGGCGCTGGAGCAGCCGGGAATGTCGGGATGGAGCCGCCGCGGCTCCAGCGAGCAGAATCCAAGCGGGAAGAGCCGAACGGCGGAGATTTACGGCGCCGGCTCCGCGCAGCCCCCCCCGGCCATTTGGCACGGCAGCTGCTGCCGGGGAACTTCAATGCCAAAATAAATTAAACGGGATAAAACGGCCTGGGCACCCTTGGATCGGGATGCCGCAGGAGCCGCGGCCGCGCGGGGCTTTGTCTGCGGGAAGGTGGGATGGGAGGGAGCCCGGGATGGCCCCGTGTCCCTTCTGCCACGCCGGAGCGGCCCGGGAGCCGCGGGCAGGGGCCGGGAGGCTGGATTAGGGATCCATCCGAGTGCACGGGGCCCAGCTGCCCCGCTCCATAAATCAGGGGAGGCCGGCTGGGTGCTGGGGGGCTCTGGCTGCCGCTCCCCCAGCGCAGGGAAGCACCCGGCGCCGCCACCCCCCCACCATCTGCACAGGGATATATTTTAAGACGTGTCAGCGCGGGGATGTTAAACCAGGCGAAAGGAGAGCAAGAAAGCCGGGGCTGGAACGCGGGGCGAGGGCCGGGCTCGGCTGGGGAGGGAGGCACGGGGGGAATGGGGGGATGGACGGAGCCCTCAGCACCCCCTGCACCCCCTGAGCTCTCTCTGCCCTCCCACCACCCGCCCTCAGCCGAGTGGGAAGGAGCCGATGCTGGGGACACAGAGCAGCGCCTGCCCACGGGGCTCCCGCCATCCCAAATTCCTGTCCAGGGCAGGAGGACTGGGGCAAAACCCCCTCCGGGAGCCAGGCTGGGGCTGGGACCAGCACAGAGAAAGAGCAGGGAGGGATTTCTGCGGAGGAAGGAGAGGGAGGGAGGGATGGAGGACACGGCCACAGCTCCATGTGTGTGCCCTCATGGCTCAGGGATGGAGCAGAATCCATCCCCTCCGGGCACCCCTGGCTCCTCTCCAGTGCCCAAGGGTCTGCCAGGAGCTGGGAGAAGGCCTGGAGGCAAACCTTAACCTCAACCCTTCCCTCTCCCACCTTCCCCTCAGCTCCAGGTTTCCTCTTTCTTTACTCCCACCTGAACCAAACCATCCCCTGCTCTAGCTCGGGCATCACCCACAACACTCCTCTGAGTGGGCTAACGAGGGCTTGGATCTTAATTAGCAGAGTGGAATTTGGGGCCTGACAGGGGCTGGCAATGCCAAATTCCACCACCCTCCCCAGGAGGGCAGGAACAAGGAAGAAAAGGCGTTTTGTTTTTTTTTTTCCAAGGAAAACACAGTTACCGTGCGACTCCAAAGGCTACAGGGGGGGAAGCAACGGAGCAAAAGGCAACCAAGGAGAGATACAGTAACAGGAAATATTTAATTTTCCAATCTCCACTTCTCCATTTTTATAAACTGAAAAGAAAAAAGACTTTAATATATTACAAAATATCTGTACAGAGACAAAGGTACAACCGAAAAAAGGCGCGCTCGGTCTCCAAAGGAAACTCGGGAGAGGTACAGTCAGAGTGTGACCAGAGGCTTCTCTGCTGGGAATTGCTACAGTGGGAGAGATGTCGGATTGACCCCAAAACCGGGATGGGGGGAAGGAGGAGGGAGCTGCCACCCCCCTCCCCCCATTTCTGTAACCTGCACCGAGGCTTAAATCCTTTTAAATGCAAAAAAAACCCCCTCCAAAACCAGAAAATCTTTTTGTCTTCTTTGTGCAGAGCGTTTGGGGAAAAAAGAAAAAAAAAGGTAAAAATTAAAAATAGGGGGGGGAAATAAAAGGAAAAGAGGTGGTGGGGGGACAGGAGTGGCCCCACAGCCCCCGTGACCTGGCCAGGCTGGACACCCCCAGCCTCCCCTGCTCCCATGGCCCCGGCAGGGAGTGAAAGGCTCGTGCTGGGACCAGCTAGGAAAGGCCAGTGGAGCTGGAATTGTGTGTCCTCCTGGGGGGTCAGAGAAGGGAATGGTGGAACCAGCTCCTGCAGGAGCCCAGAGCCCCCTGGGGACAGAGGGCAAATGCAGGGAACAGACACCTGGAATGTCTGTCCCTGGCTGGGGGTGGGACAGGGAAAAGGAGCCCCCCCAGCCCCTGCTGGAACAGGGAGCAGTGGCAGTGGCCCCATGGGGAGGGGGGACACAGCTCTCCCAGCTGGGAGAGACCACCCCAAACTGGGACCAACCACCCCAAACTGACACAAACACCCAGAACTGGGACCAGTGAGCCCTAAACTGGGACCCCAAGGCCAGGATGACACTGGCACCGAGGAGGGGGCTCATTCCCAGCAGCTTTTCCTGGGAATGTGCCAATTTGGAAAGACAATAGGCCTCCACTCCCCAAGAGGGCTCGGGCACAGGAACACGACTTTTCCTTCCAAATTGGATGGGATTGGGAAGGAACAACAAAAGCAGCAGCAGCTCCACAGCACCAAGAGCTGGCAGGAGCCAGGGAAGGGGAAAACAGGGAAATTCCCCCCCTCGAGAGGTGCCTGGTGGGTTCAGTGCACTGTGTGTCTCACAGAACTTCTCTTTTTTCCTCTCTGCACATCAGGGTGAACTAACAATTAAAAAAAAAAAACCAAAAACAAAACCACCAAAAAAAACACCAAAAAAATCCCCCACAGATTGACAGTGGGGATTCAGCGATTCAGCTCCTCAGCCCCGGCAAATAAAACCAAAATATATCCATTTCTATTGACTTTTCTCTCCCCTCCTTCCTCCCACGGCAGAGCTGGGTAAGGCAGGATTCCCCCAGGTGGAGAAGCATCACCTACTGAGGTGCATTTATTTAAATTTCTCTCTCTCTGTATAAAAAGAAATTAAATCCTGTTAGTAGCAAGGCCCCCCCCGGGTTCCCCCCCTCCTCCTTTAACACTCCAGAACTGTCGGTTCTAAAATTCAATGTTTTCCATAGGAAAGGCCTACTCAGAAACAAAAAAAAAAGCTGATAAATAGGTACCTTTGTTTTATTCATCTCTTTTTTAAGTCTCATTGAAATGAACAGCGCAAGGGTCCGCTGGAGGAGAAAACTCATCGTAAATACTTCCTTGACAACAACAAAAATAGAAATATGCTGATAGAAATGATACAGGAACACCTGGAAAAAACCTCACAGGGCTGAGACGTGACCAACCTTGGCAGGGTGGGCAGCACCAGCCCAGGATTCCGGGGGCAAATCCCACCAGGAGTTAAGATTTTTGTCTCCTTTTTTTAATTCTTTCAGTGTTCTGGAAGTTACAAGTGACAGAAATCCCCATTTTTTTCAGGGAGGTGTTCGCCTCGGCTCTTAAAAAAAAAACAACAAAAAAAAAAACCCCAGGAAAAATAAGACAATTCCCACTGCAAAGTTACAGCAGGAGGGATCCAACCCTCAGAGATCCTTCCCAAAAAAATCAGTGTACTAAGGCTGCTGTCACAGTGGGGGCAGGATCTGGCCCCGGAGCAGAGGGAAAACCAGAGGCCTTATGGAAAGAAAACAACATTGGATAAATTGAGCACAACCACTGTCACATCCAGGGCCCCCACCGCTGGGATAACCCCTCCAGGTGCCTCTGCATCAAAATATTCCCCTTTTGGTTTTTTCCTTTTTTTTTTTTGTTAAGGAAATTGGGAAAATAAACAAACAAACAAAAAATAAATCGCTTTGGGAAGCAGCCTCCCCCCAGCCCTCCCTGACCACGGGGAAACAGCTTTTTTTTTATTATTTCACTTCCTTCTTCCTCTCATTCCTATTTTTCCATCAATCCCCCCCCCCCTCCCCTCCCCTGGCTCAGCCTGGGACTGTTTTTGTCACTAACCCAGCGCGGGAGGGTCCGGCCCGGGTGGGACCCTGCGGCACATCCCGAGGGAAGGGAGGAGGGAGGGATGCACGGGGGGGGCTCTGCAGCAGCTGAAATGTGGACAAGACCTTGCTCTGGCCAAAGAACCAAAAAGGAAACCGAGTCCTGTGGCTGAAGGAGGAGAGGGCAAGGAGGGAGGGGGGCCCGGGAATGCTCAGTAGGGAACCCCCCGGCCCCGGCCCCCCCTCGGAGGCACTCTGCCAGGCCCTCGGAACGCCTTCCCGTAGGAAGGCGGTGCCTGGGTGGGGGCTCCCCAGCTGGGACCTGTCCCTGCCCCGCTGGAACCGGCCGTTCCCGGCCCCAACTCGCCGTAGCTCTGGATTTTGGCCTCGGGGTGTCCCAGCGCGTTGTTGCTCCCCTCGGATTTGCCGAAGGATTGCCCGAGCGAGTGGAGGCCGACGGGGACTCTGGCGAAACGCAGGTCCTGGTCCCCTGGGAACTGCACCGATCCCGTGCCCTGGTAGTTGCTGGTCTCCCCGAGGTGGCTCACGGAGCCCAAGAAGGTCCTGCTTTTCCCCAGGGGTTGGGCAGAAGGTTCTAGAAGCGTCTGGCCCGAGTTCGGCTCCTTGGCACCGAATCCCCCCTCGGAGCCGTCGGCGCTGTAAGTCCTGGAGGGGTGGGAGCGGCCGTAGTCCCTCGGGGCCGGGGGTTCCTGCGTGGCGTGGCCGGGCAGCTCCGTGTCCTGCTGGGAAAGGAGCTGGAGCAGCGCAGCCGTCACGGCCGGATTCAACTCCTGGGCTGCTCCGGAGAGATCCCCTTCGGGCACGGGAGGAGGCGGCGGCGGTCCGGGGGGCTCGGGGGGTCTCTTCTCTGGAGGGACAATGCCAGGAGGACACGCTGTGGAAGGGTGACTCCTTTTAAACACCGTTTCAAACACACACACACAAAGACATTTCACAAGCAAACCAAACCGATCCCTGCCGGGATGCGCCGGGAAGAGGCGGAGGGAGAGTTTTAAGGCTCCTGGGTGGGAGATCAGGGCAACGTGTTCATTAACATCGTCACCCAAAAGGCCCCGCGGCAACAGCTGTCCTAAAACACCCGGGGCACCGGGGAGGGAATTCCCGCTCCTGGATAAAAAGGTGGATGTGGAGCCACACACCAGCCCCGCGCTCCCCAAAGCCGGAGGGACGCGGAGCCGCCCGGCTCCGGAGCGTGGCCAGGACGTGTTGGATTAGACAGACACAAAGCCAAGCCCAACCACACAGAGCCCAGCTCCTCACTGCTCCCACAGCATCCCACGGGGAGCAGGACACCCCGTTCCTGTCTCCTCCCACCAGCCCCAGCCCTGCTTCCCGACCTTTCCAGCACAAGAGATCCAAAACAATCTCACCCCCCAAATATTTGCACAGAGTGGCCTGAGCATAAGAAAAACCTTTTGCTTCCTCCTCCCCCCTGCCCCTCTCTCCCTTATTTCCCCCCAAAAATCAGGATTTGTTTCCAATCAGGACTTGTTTCAAGCCCCTCCTGGCAAGAACAAAGCTCCATCAGGCCCCGGTCCCCCCCAGTTCTCACTGCTCTGGCACAGCCCCTGAGGCAGAGGGAGCACAAATGGGCCTGTCTGGGAGGTGGGAGAGGGGAGCAGAGCCCTGACCCTCCCCTGAGGCAGTGCCACACGTGTGAGTGACACCACAGGTGACACCACAGAGGGGAGGACAAGGCTCCCCAAGGAGCACGACCTGCTCCGCTCCCAAAACCAGCCCTGACTCCTCTCTGGAGCAACACACCTGAGCTGCCTCCTGCCCCTCACCCACAGGTGAAGGAATTACAGAGGCCACGGACACCTTGTTGGAATCACATCCTCAAATCACTGGCAAAACTGGTTATTAAAAAGGTCAAACTTTATTGTGAAAACCAGTAGTCTTCCAGGACCACCCCTCCACCCGTATCCATCAGTCCACTTTGAAAACTAGATTGTATTGAAATCCAGGAGAAAAAAAAAAAAAAAAAAAAAAAAAAAAAAAAAAAAAAAAAAACCAACAAAACAATCTTCAGGTAAATTTGTAAAGCCAAGCTGATTTGGGGACAGCAATTCATTCCAAAAGAGTTATCAACAGAGAACAACGGCATGGAATTGCCTCTGCTCTACAGTAACCTAGTTATCTTCCAGGACTAGGGCAACAACAACAGAAAAAAAAAAAAATTAAAAAAAAAAATAAAAAGCACGATCACAACTGGCTCGTGGTGGGCGGGTGTTGAAGGCACGAGAACACAGCACGTTCAGCTACATTGCAGGAGGTGGGATCGGGCCAAAACAGGCTCCCCGGAGAGTCTGAGACAAACCCAGGAGGCGCTTCTACAACTGGGTGAGGTCGTCACAGGCTGTGGCTAATAAATTCAGAAAATCAACAGAAACAAGAGACATGGAGAATCATTTACACTCACCTTTGGCAAGGAAATCCGAGACTTCACCGACACAACTGCTGCTCTTAAGCTCTCTCACTATGAGAAGCTGGATTTCGGGGCTTCAAAACTGACCTGGTTTTATCTCACAACTGCCACTTATCCCTCTCCCTTCAGCACTCACCAGCTTTTCAGTTCCTTTAAAAATCATCTCTGCGTGTTTATTTATTTGTTTTTATTCTCGAGAGGGCAGGAAGGGCACGGTGAAAAACACTTGGGGCGATCAATAAGATGGGAAAACCCACAGAGATTCCTGTGCAAAAAACCCCCTCCCTGGATGTGCCAACTGCTGGCTGGGGGTGGGTTGAGAAGAACCGACCCTCCAGACTTCCCTTTCATTTTTAGGCAAAACCCCAAACCTTTAATTAATCTTCACTGACCCATTCACAGTGGAGCACTAAAGGATTTTAGAGTGAATGTTTGCAGTTCAAACCTCCTGAGCAGCCCAGCACTCACCGCAGGGAGGGGGGCACTTTGAAACCTGAGGTCTGAGCACATTCTACCCATCCCCTTCCCTCCTCCCTCCCTCCAACGCTCCAAGCTCTCATTCCTCCTGGAAACCAGACCTATCCCGCTCCCTGGGACGCTCCAACTCCTCAAACACGTGAGGTTTTATTTATTTACCTGAGCTCTCCTCCGGGTGCCTCGTCGGGGTTTTCCGGGGCGCCCGCTGCTCGCTGCTCTTCTCCCCATTGCTCTCCTCCAGGGCTGGGATCCCGGGCTCCTGGCTCTTCATGAGCTGACTCAGCAGAACCGCCAGCACGTTCTGCATGTCTCCCTGAGCGCTGGCTGCGTCCGGAGTCTGCTGCTCCTCCGGCACCTCCGGAGGGGGCTCCTCTATGGCTTCCTCTGGCGGCGCCGCCGGGGGCTCGTGGTGCTCGTGGTGCTGCGCCGTGGCCTCGGTCAGCGCCGTGATGGACTGGTTGAGGGCCTCCAGCTGCTGCTGCATCTCGGGGTTCGAGTGCACGTTCAGGAGCTGGGCCATCTGCGGCACGCTCAGGTCGGTCTGGCTCTGCAGCAGGTTCAGGAGCACGGCCAGCTCGCTCTGGTTCAGCTGCTGCGTGATGTCCCCGAGGCCTGCGGGACACCCCGGGAGGGGACGAGAGGGGAGCGTCACTGCCAGGGGGGGCTTTGGGGTCCTGGCACTGCTTGTGGAAATGGACACCCCCTCCCCATGTCCCACAGCAGTGAGCAGCCCTTCTCCACGTCCCACAGCCATGATCCACATCCCACAGCAAGGAATCCTCCTTCCACACATCCCACAGCCCTTCCCCATGTCCCACAGCCATGATCCACATCCCACAGCCCTTCCCCACATCCCACAGCCATGATCCACATCCCACAGCAAGGAATCCTCCTTCCCCACATCCCACAGCCCTTCCCCACATCCCACAGCAAGGAATCCTCCTTCCACACATCCCACAGCCCTTCCCCACGTCCCATAGCCATGATCCACATCCCACAGCAAGGAATCCTCCTTCCACACATCCCACAGCCATGATCCACATCCCACAGCAAGGAATCCTCCTTCCACACATCCCACAGCCATAATCTGCATCCCACAGCAAGGAATCCTCCTTCCCCACACCCCACAGCACTGAACATCCCTTCTCTGTGTCCCACAGCCAGGAACATCCCTTCTCTACATCCCTGTGGCACTGAACATCCCTTTCTTCACATCCCCAGGCTGGGGCAAGGCAGGGAGGCTCCAGGAGGAGGGTTTCAGGATATCCTGCTGGGATTCCCATGGCACGGCAGCAGCACCCCGTGGTGCTGGGCACACACTGCACCCAGAGCTGCTGTTGCCTCACTGCCCTTCCAACCTCCCAAACACCACTGCACATGGGGCTGCTGCCAAAACCCAGCTCAGCTGAGCCAAACCTCCCCATTCCTGGGTTTGGGAAGCCAGGGCATCCCAAGGATACCACGTTGATGAGGATGGAAGCCCCAAACCCACGTCATGGCAATCACAGCAGCTCAGCCCCTCCCCATGTCCCCATGGATCAGTCACCCCCTCCTGCCCTGGGAAGCAGGTTTCCCAGGATGGAGCCAAGCTGCAGTTTGGGATGCAGGAAGGGTGTGTTCAGTGACACAGCAGAAGGAATTAGGTCAAGCAGAAGGCAATTCCTGGCCTGAGATCTCAGGGCTCTGTCCTGACCTGCAAGGATCCAGGTTATCCTAAAATACATCCCTGGAGTGGCACCACCTCCCTCTGCAGCCCACTGGAGTGACAAGTGACAAGGGTGCCCCTTCACACTGACACTGATGTTGGAACTTTTTGGGAATAAGGATGCCAAGGTTTGGTTTTAGGAGCTTAAACTGGAGCTCCTCTTGCTGGTGGGGGACGAGGAACGTGACACTCCTTTCCCAGCTGTTTGTTAATCCAAGCACCACCTTTTGTCCATCTGCCATGTTTCACTGAACACATGGATTGTGCATTCCCTGGAGCAAGAACTGTCTTCCTCATTACTTGTCAGCACAGCACTGGACACAAAGGAAGCTTTAGCCCCCATATCTGGGTTTTTATAAGGCTTCCACAGAACAATCAGGGCAGCTTTGTGTAACTCCACATTCCCAGGAATCAAAATACCTTCCCCTCCAACTATTTTCTAGGCACAGGAAGGTTGGTCACGGGTTGGTCACAGTGCACAAGTTCTGGTCCTGCAAGTCTTGACGACCTTTTCTGCAATTAAGTGTGATAATGTACATTTTTGCATATACCCCACACCTAATCTTTATATAATTTGATCAACAAGATCAAACTTCAGCTCCTGGATGTGGCTGCACCTTCCAGCCTATGATCTGTTCCTTCCCTGGCTTAAGTGACTCAGTGACTCCTTTCATCATTCAGCCTCTTTTGGAACTAATAACACAGCTCAGAACAAATTCACACTCGGCTCATCAGTGACTTCTGAAGACCAGACAGAACCCTCTGCGCCTCCACAGCAGAGAGAGGGGAGGAAAAAAAAAAAAGGGAATAAAAGAAACGAGGACAGGAAGAGTCTGGAATGCCCTTTCTGCAGAAACAGAGGTGAAAGAACCAGACTGGCTCGAAAACCAGACACAAACCTCCCACACCCAGGGAGGGGACACACCGGGAGCCTTTTCCAGAGCAAAGCGGGCACTGACCTACTGCATCTGCAGCCCCAGGCTCTGCTTTGAGCTGGGCAGGCTGGGGGGGCACAGGACTGCTGTTGTTTTTCACAGTGTCTGTGCTTGTAACAGAGGTAGTTTCTTTCCGAGAAACTTTTGCCACCGGAGGCTCCTCCACGGCCATCCCGCTCTGCCGCTGCCGCCGGCGCTTCTTGCTCCACAGCTCGTGGCAATCCTGCCAGTGGGGGAGGCTGCAAGGCAACACTGGGCAGTGAGAAACACGCCTGGGAAACCAGGGGAATCCCCAAAACCCACAGGGAAAGGTTGTTAGAGCCCTAAGAGAAGCGCAGGGGATGTGCTTCCAGCGAAGCTGCGGCTGCCCCGCCCCTGGGAGCGTCCAAGGCCAGGTTGGACCTGGTTTGAACACTTGAACTCCTGTCCTTGGCAGAGCTCAAGGCCAGGCTGGGCAGGGTTGGACCTGGCCTAGTGGAAGGTGGCCCTGCCCATGGCAGGGGGTTGGAACTGCATGGACTTAAAGCTCCCTCCCAACCCAACCCATTCCATGATTCTACGTTCCCCTGACTGCAGCCAAACCGAGAAGGGGCAAGTCCTGGAAACAGGAAAGGCAGCCTAATTACAGGGAAATAATTTAATTTGCACTGGGATCTCATCCCTGAGTGGCCTGGGATCTCACACAAACCCCAGTGAGGGCAAGTCCACCAAGCTCTGAGGGTCTGGGGGATTTAAGGAAGGCCCTGCCTTGAGGAACTCTGAAGGAAACAGGAATTTTGTGGCTGTACTTGCACACAAATCTGCCAGAGTTTTATCATCTGCTTGACTGGAGTGGGAGGAAATTGCTACAGTGTGACACTGCTCAACTCTTCCACTCAATTAACACACAGCCTTAATGAGGCCTGACTGGTTCTCCATGGCACAGAGACAGGGATGTGCTACAACCCACTCTTGCACAACTTCCAACAGAGTTTTAGAGCATCTCACAAGCATTAAACTGGGCTTTATAAAACCAGCCTGTTATCAGGCAGAAATCTAACAGCACAGGAAGAGTGACTTGCTCAACCACAAGACAAAATGCCAGGGCAGAGTAGAGAAAAAGAGCCCAGAAATCATAATTTTGACTGAAAAAAATCCCTCCAGCAGGGAGGGTCTCCTCCCCTCCAGCAGAGAGCCCACGGCTGTGGCAGCTGGGACTTACTCTGGAGGTGCCATTTTGCTGAGGTCAACGTCCTTCAGGAAGTCACTGTGCAGGGCCTGCTCTGCTGTGCAGCGTTTGCCAGGGTCCAGAGTCAGCATGTGGTCCAGCAGGTCCAGAGCAGACGAGGGAATGCTGGGGAGAGAGTGGGAAACACAGAGGAGTCAAGGGGGAACACGTGGAGAAGCCACTTCCAGAGAGAGGCCCCTCAGGCCTGAGAGGAATCCACACAGAAAAGTTTATTCCTCGTGATGCAGCAGCTGGGGCTGTGCCAGGGAGGGTCAGGGTGGATCTCAGGGAAAGGTTCTTCCCCCAGAGGGTGGTTGGCACTGAACAGGCTCCCCAGGGCAGTGGGCACGGCCCCAAGGCTGCCAGAGCTGAGGGAGTGTTTGGACAATGCTCTGGGGACGTGGGGGGATTGTTGGGGTGTCCTGGGCAGGGCCAGGAGCTGGATTGGATGATCCTTGGGGGTCCCTTCCAGCTCAGGATATTCCACGATATTTTCACTTTAATTTTTGCCATTTATGAAAAGCAACTGGGTTACAAATCCCACAGGGTTATCCCACAATTAGACTCTCCCCCAGAGAACATTTCCCTGACGTCAGATCGTGAGGATACCCCACTGCCAAGGGTGCTCCCAAGGGAATCCCTCCGAAGGCACCTGAGCCACATCAGGTGCTGAGGGAGGGCACAGTGACCCCATCCCAGCCTTCCCCAGGTGGGGAGAAGCTCCACAAACCACATCCAGAGGAGAAGAGGGGAGTCACAGAGGCCATGACCCCCCCCCCAGGCCACTCACAAGGAGAACTCCTCGCGCAGGCGCCGGCGGTATTGCTTCTTGGGCTTCATAGTGTTGAAGTAGGGCAGCTTGATCACATCTGGCCACACAGCTGGGCAGGGGCTCCCACAGAGCCGGCTGGGAGGCAGGAGAGCAGGGTCAGGCAGGTGGCACACAGGGGAAGAGCCCCCAACCCCAGAGAAAAGCTCCTTCCTGAGCAACTCACTGCAGCAATGACCAAGGGCTGGGCACACCTCGGTGGGGTGTTAAGGAAGGAGGTATCAGGAAGAGGGGAATGCTGAGCTTGAGCTCATAAACCACCCACACAGTGAATTTTTCTTTTTCTTACTGTAAATGTTAACATTTTTAAAATTTCTTACTTTAAATTTTAAGAATTGACTAACTTTTATTATCTTTACTATACGGGTGGGGAGGCCCTGGCACAGGTTGCCCAGAGAAGCTGTGGCTGCCCCTGGATCCCTGGAAGTGTCCAAGGCCAGGCTGGACGGGGCTTGGAGCAACCTGGGCTGGTGGAAGGTGTCCCTGCCCGTGGCAGGGGGTGGGACTGGATGAGATTTAAGGCCCCTCCCAACACAAACCAGTCTGTGATTCTAATTTTCAGCGTGAGATGTAATTTAGGTTCATGATTTTTGTACTCAGCTCACAGCGGGCACATAAATGAAAAGCCACACACACCTGATGGGGGTGTGGACACCTGACTATTCCCACTTGCAGTTCCAGGCATTTCTGGCCCTATTTTTGCAGGCAGGGGGAGAGAACAAGGGCTCCTCTAACACACGGCCTGTGTGCACGAGCAGCTCCTGCAGTGCCTCCTCTCACAGACATGCATGTGCAACGCTTTACCTGATTAATTCAAGCTGAGCCAGTTCCAGATTGGCTTGAAAAATAGGCTTCTTTGTAAACAGTTCCCCGAGGATACAGCTGGAAAGAGGAAAAGCAAGAGGTCACGACAGCAAACCCTTGGGAGGAGCGTCTGAACAGCGCCGGGTTTCTGCTTTGCCCGAGGAGGGTGATTTGCATCAGGGCTTGTAGTTGAGCACTGACAGACTGACCTGTGTGTACAGAACCCCCGTGCTGGGCTCCTGGGGAATCACCTCCCTGCAAGGGGCTGCTTAATGCAGGAAGCCCTTGACGTGTTAACTCTTTGCAGGGAAAGGGGGATGTGTCCATGTGACAAGGAAAAAGAGCCAGGGATCTCGCTTCCTCCAGGTTCAGCTTTCAAACCTCACTGTGCTGCCCCAAACTACCCTCAGCTGCCCCAACCTGGGTGTCCTGGGACATGGACTCGTGTGGCCACACAGCTGGGAAAGAGGAGGAGGAGGGAGGGCACAGCTCTGGCTCCTTCAGGCCTCGACATCCCTCAAGCCACCAGGAATCAGTGCCAGGAGCAGCTGAGGGGGACACAGACCTGTGGCTGCTGGGACAGGGACAACCCCTCTCATGGCACAGGACACTGAGCAGCAACTGGACCTCACTGCCAGAATTCCCAGCAGGAATCAGGATTAATTGCTGGCTTTCACAACCCTCTGTTTGTGTTCTAAGCTCTGCTGAAGTTCAGCTGTGAATATCCCAATGGGAAGTGTTCCTATTTTGGGCAATCCAGCCCCCCTCCAGAAATTATATATATACATATATATATAACATATAAAAATATATACTTTATATATAAAAATATATAATATATAAATATATACTATATATAAAAATATATACAATATATAAATATATATACTATATATAAATATATACTATGTATAAATATATAATATATAAATATATATTATATAAAAATATATATTTTATATATAATATACATTATATTATATATACATATACATATAAAATATACATATAATATATAATATATAATTTAATATAGATAATTTATATAAATAATATATAATTATATAATATAATATAGTCATATAATATACAATTTAATATATAATTTAAATATAGTATTTTAAATACAAACATATATCATTAATAATAGTAGTATACACTTAAATTTTATTATTATTAATAATAATAATAAATTTAAATCTACTTTAAATATTTTTAATGTGAATATAAAACGTTTTACATTTAAAATGGTATTTTTAAATTTTTTTTTTTTTCTCAGAACCCTGTGCATGGCTGGGACAGATCCAGCTGCAGGAACGAGCTCAGATTCCAAGGGAAATGCTCCCGAGGTGCTGCCCAGAGCCACGAGGTCACTCACCCACAGCTCCACACGTCGATGGCAGGGGTGTAACGCTCCTCCCCCAGCAGCAGCTCCGGGGGTCGGTACCACAAGGTGATCACTTTGTTGGTGTAGGGCCGGCTGGAAGGCAAAGCACAAACAGAAACTGATGGCAGGAGCCACAAAACCCTTCAAAGCCGTTTGTTTCCACTGCCCAGCTGCAGAGTTCAGCAGCAGCAGGGGCACTGCAGGGGCCTCCACTTCCCTGAGTTAAGGGAAGAGGAGGTACCACGGGTTTTACAGGGCTCAGGACTCCAGTTGGAGGTACCCAAGACTGAATTCCTGCCCCTCAGGAGGCTGAATGTGCTGCCATCACTGAGTAGTGGCTGATCTGGGAGCCAAACAAGCTCCAAGGCAAACAGAAAAGATGTTTTGGCTCCTCATCATCTGGTTTTACAATGAGCAGTTATTAATGGCTGCCAGGAGCGTATCTGTCCAACAGCTGGAGCTGGATGATACACTGGGAATCATTTCTCAGGACTTCCAAGCGCAGGGATCCCGTGGATGTTCAGGAGAAAGGAGCCCACCCCAGCTGTGTCCACCCTGTCCCCTCCTCACCTCTCCTCCGAGCTGTAGAGTCGGGCGAGTCCAAAATCTGCGAGTTTGATTTGCCCACTGGAAGAGACAAAAAAACAGGCCCTGGTTTGAATCCCAGCAGGAGTCAAGCAGATAAATCACAGAACCCACTGAGCTGGAAGGGACCCAGCAGGATCAGAGCCCTGCTCCTGGTTAAACCCCAGTCCAAGGGTAAGGAAACCCCCCATGGAGCAGAAAGGTCTCCCAGAGCCACGTCTGCAGGAACCACTGCTGGATATGCCAGTCTGAGTTTCCCAGATCAGATTTAATGCTTCAAAGAAATGTTAAAAAAAAAAAAAAAAAAAAAGGCAATAATTCAGTGTCATCTCTACCACAAACCCTTCCCACTGGGCCAATATCCTAGAGGAATTCTTGAGGTGGATATCCAGCCATGGGGTTGGGACTACAGGCAGGATTATCCCACACCTCCTGCCCCCGAGCACAGCCAAGGTGAGGACGATGTGTCCTCTCAGGGAGAGCACAGGGAAGAGCTTGGAGAGAGGTGGATCCACCCCCAGGTTACCTGTTGTTCAGTAAGATGTTGGAGCACTTAATGTCTCGATGAAGGAAGTTCTTTTTGTGACAATAGTCCAGACCCTCCATTAACTGTTTCATGAAAGACTTGATATGGTCCTCTGAGAAATGTACCAAGCCAGATTCTAGCAGCCCCATTAGGTCATGGTCCATGTACTCAAACACAAGGTAAAAGGCACCTGGGATAAGAAACAAAGAAATGATTGAAGAGCAGAGACACAAAAAAAGGAGGAACGAAAGTAGATTCAGTTGTTAAAACAGTTTTCTCTGTGCACTGTTGTCTTTAACAGTCTTGGGATGTTTAGGGCTTAAAGGTCCTACATGACTTTTTTTTCCCCTCCCTAAGGGGTTAAAAAACAACCCCAAAACAACTAAGTAGCCCCTCCAAGCTGACATCTGAAATTAAATGTGCACTCCAAATAAATTCCTCTGAAATCCTGGCCACGTTTACCCACCTGCTTTGGTTATTTCCCTTCAGGAGAGTTTGTTGAGGAGATCACTGCTATACACGGTTTGAACTCATGTTTGTGTTGCTCCCTTCTCTCTCATGGAAGAGAAGGTCCCAAACAAGAGCCAGTGGGATTATAAAACACCCTCCTTCCACGGTGAGGGAGGATACAAGACTTTTCACACTATTGATAAAGTTTGTTGCCACTAATCAGTGTTAGAAGTGACTCTGTAAATGCCTTTTTTTGTTAAAGCCTGTTCATCTGTGACTCTGCAGGAATGAAGTCATCCCTCTAGTGCAACAACTCACTGTAACTGGGATCTATCCTTTGAGGAAAGGCCGAGCCCAGCTGCCAAACTCCCTGGAACTGCTTATAAAGGAGGAACACAAAAAACCAAAACAAAACAAAAAAAAAAAACCCAAAGCCACTCCAGAGTTCAGATTTTGAGTTTTGCACTAAACCAATGGGTTGCACCACGTCTGTGGCTGCTGGAAAACCCCCACCTGGAGCAACCAGGTACCTTTGTCCTTCTTGAAATCCAGTGCATCTTGTTTGTCCGTGACGATCTCCTTCATGTTGACGACGCTGCGGTGGATGAGCTGCCGCAGGATTTTGATCTCCCGGATGGCCGTGATGGGAAATCCCTCCTTCTCGTTGTCCAGGCGCACCTTCTTCAGGGCCACCAGCTCACCTGCCAAGGCACACCTGGCTCACACCCTGCCCTCCTCACCAGCCCTCCCTGGGGGCTCCAGGGAAGCTGGAAGGAGCCATGAGCACCAACACCCACCAAGGGCGGCGGAGGCAGCTTTAGTTACCCCCCTAAATTCAGTTAAATTGCTCTGCCAGGAGTTATCACGCTTGGACTGGTGACACCTGTGCTCCTCCTAAGCTGCTCCAGCAGGAACTCACACAGGGGAACACACATTTACCCTGGAATTTCCCACCATTCTCTGCTACAGTCAAGTCTGACATGGGCCCACCTAAAAGGCAGAGGTTTAGTTGGCACCTGTGGCTGCCACAACCACCAGACCAGGGGTCAAACCACACACCCAGGGCACAGGATCTCACAGGCAGAGTGGGAAGCTGGGCACTAACTCAGGATTTCAGAGCTCCCGTTCTTCCAGCCCTCTGGAAGTGCCTATTCCAGGAGCCATTTCTAGTTCTACAGGTACTGGTCACCAACCAGCCACACCATGGCCGTTGAGCACACCCACAGCAACACGGGCTTCCAAAGGTGGAATTCACCTGGAGCCACTCTCCAGCCTTACCTGTGTCCTTGTCCTTGGCTTTGTAGACCTGCCCATAGGTCCCCTCTCCGATAATCCCGATGATGTCAAACTTGTCCACACAGCGCTTCCCCCAGTCGCTTTCCGTCTGTCTCCTCTCCCCATACCGAGGACAACAGATTCTGGGAGAGGGAACAGGCCTGTGAGACACCCCAGTGTCACCCCAGTGCCACCTGCCTGACTGCTAAACTGACCCCCAAACCCCAAAGGCAAAGCTCAGCAATGCTGGCTTTGCACTGCCAAGGATTTGAATGTTTGGGACAGTTCGGTGAATTCTGCTGTAAAATCCCAACTACTCCAGGCACTGCTGTGCAGGAATATTATCCTGGAGAGCATTATTATGCTACAGTAGGACAGAAATTAATGTTTGGGCTATTTCACAAGATGCTAGATATTTGATTTTTATTTCTAAGGCAGTGTAATGCTCTGTACAGAACACTAAGAGAATTTGCTGCCTCAACAACTGCTTGAACTTTGTTATCAGGGGAAGTTCTCTGTGCCTGGAACATGGAATCGTGGAATTGTGGAATGGTTTGGATTGGAAAGGGCCTTTAAAAGCCCAGCCAGTCCCACCCTCTGCCATGGGCAGGGACACTTTCCAGTATCCCAGGTTGCTCCAAGCCCTGTCCAACCTGGCCTTGGACACTTCCAGGGATCCAGGGGCAGCCCCAGCTTCTCTGGGCAACCTGTGCCAGGGCAGTTCCATCATCAACACTTCAATCATGAAATGCATCAAGAAAACATGGACATCTCCTATCTGGAATGATCAACTCCTAAAGTCACCACGAGCTTTACACAGGGGTGCTCACAAGGAGGTTTTTCGGGGCTGTGGGCACAGCTGAATTAAAGATTAAAGAGCTTTTGGGGTAGATGTGGCTGGAGATCGAACATGGCACACTCCAGCAACTTCTGCCACTAATCCTCAAATAAATGAGGGTCCAAATACGAAACAACCCACAGGAAATGGTGTTTATACAAGAAAACACAGAAATAGGAACTTGTCTCCTCCCCATTTCACTTCCCTCAATAAAGAGCTCTCACACACAAAAAAAACCCCAAAAAACACAAAGCCAGGCTTACTTTGGTCTCTTTTTGAAGGGTTGCTGAGGTGGTGTGGCTGCCTTTGGTTCTGGGGAGTCGGGAGGAGATGGGTCCCCCCCGGGGAGCTCCGGGGGGAGCGGGAGGTCCGTGAGTAAGTGGCGTGGTCTCTGCTCTCTGTCCTTCTTCACAGGTTTCGGAGGAAGAATCTCCTTTGGACTAAACTCCGGAAAGTTAATACAACACAGGAGTCAGACTCAACACAGGGGAAAAAGGTGCTGTAGGACAATAGCTCTGGTTGACAACCAGAAGTGTCAGAATTAGCACGGCCAAGTATAAAATAAAACAGCTTTAAAATTTCGAGTGCCCGTGCAACAGGAGAGAAAAGTGGGAGAGTTGAACACGGCACTAAATAAACACACAGCTCTGCACTGGGACTTGCTCCATCTGCACAAATCAGTAATCACTTGGAGCTTCCTATAAGACAGCTCAGAGCATCAGAGAACCCACTTTGACCTTTACTTCCCCTATTTACTTCACTTATCATCACGAAATTAAATGCATGACTTGGTAAGGCCTGCCAGAAATACAGACCCAGAGCTAGACCTCTCTCCACGAGCAACTTTCAACTTCATACCAAGGACTGAAATGTGGCTTTAACTCCTGAATGCTGCTGAGACACCAAGAGTTGATTTTTTTAAATCCAGTTCCCAGTGGCATCAGAAGTTTGATTTAGATTGGCAAGAGTCACGTGAGCAGAAAGAACCCACTTTGTCTCTCGTGTCCTCAGCAAGGAGAATTCCTGGGTTTGAACAGTCAGGAATTCTCTGCTTCACCATAAAAAGATGAAGAGATCCAAACAACCTTCCCAGGCGTGTTTTTAGGGCAGGAGCAGGTTTGGTGTTTGTCAGCACCATCAGCTCTGACACTTCAGCGCAGATGAACTGATGGAAGTAGGTCATTTTCCCAATTATTTTATCAGACTCTGCCTAATCTGCATGACAATCTCTTGTGAAACCAAGTTAAGGAAGGAGGAAGACAAGAAACACCCGAAGTGGGAGAGCTGGACAGGCTAAAACTCAGCTCCCATTGACTGCAAACTCCTGAGGAGCAGAATAACAGTATTTAAATATCTATATAAGAAATAATGGAATTGTTTAACTGGAAAAGCCCTCTAAGATCAAGTCAAACCATCAACACTGTCACATTCACCACCAAACCACGTCTCAAAGGCTCAGCCTTTTTCCAGACACCCCTCAAAAGCCACTTCTTTCCAAGACCTTGGTGGGTGAAGGTGTGTCCACAGGGTCAACCTGCAGTGCCTGGCCTTTCAGGAGGCCCCTTCTCCCAAAAAATTCCCATTCTTTTGCCATTATCTGTGCTCAGTTTCCTACTTGCAGGCCAGCACTGGGTCACTGGAAGTTCAGTTGCCCCAGAACATCTCTGAGAGCCAGGAAACCAAACAGACCCTTTGGAGTTGCCTGAGCACAGGAACTAGAAAGGGTGAGCACAGACAGGCTAACAAAGACTCCTTGGAGCTCCCTTCTCCCCTAAAACAGCAGGGATGCCAACCCTAAAAAGGCAGCACTGCCAGCAGCTGGATCTGTGCTTGTAACCAGGCTGGTGCTGTGATCACTCAGCCAGATGTTCCCAGGAAGCTACACAAGCTCTGCCCCTTTGGAGCACGACACCAAACCCACCCAGAGTTTGTGCCACTTCCTCCTAAACAGCTTTTCCTGCTCTCCTGGTGAATCCCCTGGACTTGCTGCGAGGTCTGAAAGCATTGCAGGAGGTTCTAAGTCTGGAGAGGTTAAAGAGCCTCTGATTGAACGAGGTGCTTTTTGTGCTTGGACACTTCCAAGCCCTTTTCCAACCCTGTGCTCGGGGCTGGAACATTCCCCAGGCTCAGCAAGGACAACAAAAAGTCCAGCTCAGAAAGTTTTGCCCGTAAATAGGAAGGCAGTTGGTTAAGGGGGAGATTCTGCCCAGTTGGGGCCATGTGGAACTGCCACCAGACTCAGCAAAACGAGCAGGATTTCCCACCCTTTAATTGGGAAAAAAATCACATAAAGCCACTTACTGAGCTTTGCTCCGTCCCCCTCATCACCCCCAGCCCTGAGGTCAGGGATAAGACAAAACTAAGCCACACCTGGGTGGTAAAAAAGAGCTCTGGGTGTAAGGGGCTGAAAAAAAACCCACAATAGAGATTTGCAGGACAACTTCTGGGTTTGGAAATGAGGGAATGCAGCAGCAGGATTTGCCCTGAGTGGCATTTGGGTTGGGAAAATCTGCTCAAAGCTCTGGCTGATCACAGAGACATTTAAACTCAGTTGCTGAACAACATCACACAGCTCAGGGAGGGCAACAACCACATGGGAGCCTCATGTTTAGGTTGGTGGCAGAGAGAACATTTCCCTGGTTGGCATCAATGCCAGGATAACCCATGAAAATCAATTCAATAATCAGAATATGGAACACAAGGAGTTCACTTCACCACAGGGTGATTTTGTATCGAGTCAGAAGCTGACTGCCCAAAACCAAGCTGGGAATATACAGAAGTTTTTAGGGAACTACAGGCTAAGCGAGTCAAGTAGGAAAAAGAATAAATATATATCACTTATGACCTGGAGTTAACAGCACTACAACACACCAACAGCTAGAAAGGAGAGAAAGAAAATATAAATATCTGGGTTTCTTCTTTTCCATCTCCATTTTGGTTATTCTGCACCTTTCCCCTTTTCCTCCCAGCAAAAATAAAAGCCCCACAATGAGGTTTTTCAGACGAGTCCATCACAGAAGCCACAACCACCCCCAGCCCAGAACTGGACAGAGCCAAGTCTGCATGTTTTGATCAGGAATTACAGGAAATCAAGTTGAAGTAGGTGTAGTTTCACTCATTTTTAAGCAATACCTACTTCTCAAGCAGTAAAGGTTTGTAATAATGACTCAATAATTAAGATAATATTTAAGTTCAACCAGTGCTGGTTTTACCCATGGGCACGACCTGCATGGTTGGTGAAATGGGAACAGAAAAAGCTCTGGTTTGTGTCCCTGGATTGGGAGTGTTAAGCTCTTCCCTGTTCCTTAAGTACAAGTTTTGGAGGAATTAAACAAAAAACCCAGCGATTTTAAAAAGTGAGTCTGTGCAAACAGCTGCAACACAAAGAGGTGCAAAATCCCAGAGCCACGTTCCATTCCTGCAGTAAACATGACCAAAGAGGGGAAACCTTTACTAAGCAGCAGCCAAACTCCTGTTTCCCACAGGGATAAGAGGTAACTACCTGCGTGGGATCACCAAACTCTCCACAGAAACCTGCCAGGGCCAACACCTAGAGTGGCCCTGGGATAACACACCTATCCCAGCGACAGTTGTACCCAGCAGGGGAAGCTCCCAGCTGCCAAACTCCCCTCAAACCCCTCGTTATTTCAATGCAAAGGGGATGCTCTGCTGTGACCTTACCTATCCAAGTCATCTTCCCCAACTAAAATAGGGGGCAGCGGAAGCGGAGGCAAGGTGGAAGTTTTCAGGTGTGGGATAGCAGCCGTCACAGACACTTGGGTTTTTGTAGCCACCTGCACAGAGGACTGGGAGTTCACCTGAGAGGATAGAGTAGACGTCCTTGGGTGGGAGGAGGATGGCAAAGACGTTGGGGCTGGAGGAGGGGCCTGGACAGGAGTCACTTGGGCTGGAGGCAAAGGCGGGACGGCGGGAGACGGAGGCAAAGGCGGCAGCGGCGGAGTCGGAGGTGGAGGGGTGGTGGTGGGCAGGGGTGGAGGGGGGGACTTGATTGAGGGCAGGGGGGGTGGGATCTCCTTCTCCGCTGTGTCTGTCTCCTTTGGAGATACCAGGTCCTCCACCGCCGCTCCGGGCTTCGAGTCCTTTGTTCCCGAGGGTTTGGAGTCCCGAGCCGGCGCGGGATGTTTGCGCTCCGCGTTCTCCTCCGGCCGGGCCCTCGCCGGCTCCGCGGGGCCCTTGGGCTCGGCGTTGCTGTGCAGTAAGTTCACTGACTCTGGGTCTGGCGGGGCCTTCTCCAGCTTAACAATTTTGGTGGCCTTTTTAGACTCCGGCCCGGCCTCCTTCAGCTCGGCCAGGCTGTTCTCCTTCCTGGCCAGGAACACCGGGGAGCCCTTCGCCTCCTTCCCGTCCACCTTGGCCGCAGCTGCTGCCGCGGCCGCTCGCTCCTTCTTCTTCCTGCTGAGCTCTGCTCCCAGGCTGGAGTTCAGCGGGAGCCTCGTGGGGGAGATGCTGGAATGGCGGCTGCGGGACCCAGACCTCTGCTTTTTGCTGTGAGATGAGTGTCTTGAGTATCCAGGGCTGCGGCTCCGGGACTTCACGGACTTCCTGGGGAGAGAGGCACGAAAGGAAGCTCCTGTCAAACTCTGAGCTACTCACCAACAACTGGACCCAGGCTTGGGCAGGTCAGAGGGTCCTCAACACCTGTCAGGAGAGATTAAAGCTGCTGAAAGGGGTTTATTGAGTCAATCAGGAGCGGTTTCACACCACCACCATCCAGCCTTCCTGGGCCAGGACCACCCTCAGCGGTAACACAGAAACCAAGGACCAAGGCTGGACAATCCCCAAGGAAAAGAGGAGATCACGGAGCCAACAGGAGACCTCAGTCCAGAGGATGAGCTGGCAGTTTGGGAATCTTTCACAGGAATCTGGTACAACTTTAAAGGGAACAGTGGATAAAACAAGAGGCAAATCTGCCTCAGGAAATCACACACTTCAAGCTCATTTCCCCCCCTGGTTTTTTTACTGCCATCAGAACTCCAATTTGCACAGTGTGATTTGGGAGAAATGAAAAAATAAACCAGCAATTTTTCTGAGGTCTTGGTCTTCCTCTACAATAAATGGGCTCTAAGTCATGTATTTATGAAGGAACAATCACAGAAAACCTGTGCTGTGAGTGAAGCAAGGCAGGGAACACCTCACACCATCAGGCTGAACCTGCTCAGGAGAGAGCAGCCACCACCAGCTCAGGGGAGACTGATGGGGAAACTGGATGAAAAAAAATAAAATGGAAGTGGAAACTAGAACTTCCAGAGTCCACATCAAAATTCCTGATAAACCAGAACCGCTTTCTCCACTCCAGCAGGAACTAGGATTGGATGTTGAGACAGAAGGTTTAATGGCAGGGGAAAACCAAACATTCTGAGAGCAGACCCTATAAATACCGTGATAGACACAACACTCCGTGATTACTCAGGGCATATTTGGAAAACATGGAATTCTCTCAGAACACAGTCCCAGAATAGCTATAAAACACACACCTCATCCCAAACAGGTCCAAACACAGGCAGGCAGCCCGGGATCGCCTGTAACCACGCTCAGAACACAACTAACAACGAGGTCTGAACTCTTTGTAGGGCCACACAAATTAATATTATCCCGAGACAATCAATACTGGCAAAATAAACTGGAGAGCTGAGGTAACACAGAGCTCCTGGCTCGTCACCACAAACACCTGCCAGGATGGGCAGCTGGGACTGGGGGAGGTTCACCAGAACTCCCTTCCCTCCCTGCTCCAAGGATCAGCATTCCTCTCTCTCACTGCTACAACCCCAGGAGAGCACCAGGGCTGCAGGCAGGTCCTCACCTTTAAACTCACAAAATGAACATACAGCCACAAGGAGGAAAAAGCGGGATCTAAAGCCACTCAGCTGTTCTGCCTCTTCAACACACCAGGAGCTCTGCCTCGGGATCGTCTCTTTTTCCAAGGTTTTTTAGGGAACTGATGATCTGGGACACAGCTCACCTGCCACCAGGAGCTGGGAGAGCAGAGTTGCCTTTTCACCACGCTCCAAGACATCTGGGGCTGAGGAAAACATTCCTAATGAACCCTGTGGGACCACAGTCAGTTTGGGGTTGGCATTCCCTCCTGCAATCCCTCCAGGGTGGGCTGTTTAAGGTGCTGCAAGACTCCATTCCTTGCTCCTTGTTTCCCACCCTCCCTCACCATTAACCCCCAGGAATTACTCCAATCCATGGAATGGGTTGGAAGGGACCTTCAGGCCCATCCAGTCCCAGGAAGGACACCTTCCACCAGCCCAGGTTTTCTCTTCACTAACAATAATCACCCACCCTGATCACACAAAGAGCTGTTATTTCCAAGCCCATTTTCCAGGCTGGTGTTTACAGCTGCTTTGTCAGACCTGAAAAAGGCCCCACATCCAGAAGCCTTCTTGCTTTCCCAGCTCCACACCACTCCAACAAGCCTCATCTCCCATCACTGGACCATCAGCAGCCCCAAAAGCACCAACACCCAACACCCACAGCACCTGCTGAGGGGCCTTTTGTCACTGGGTATCTCAAAACAGATGCAACAAGGTACACAAGGTGCACAGGGAGGTTTTGCTTTTGGAAGAGAACCCTTTCCATCCTCTGGAACGATTTTTTGTGGCTTTGCCTGCAGCCACTTATTAGTACTTTTACCCCTTCAATGTGTATTAATGAGGACTCCAACTTTATTTGCTTTGCCAAGGTTATCCAGGATGGATAAGGGGCAAGTCAGTGTCAAATGCAGATCTTCTGGATAAAAATGCCCTGGGATTAAAAACCACCTCGTTGTCCCTCTAGAACTGGCAACCAGAAAGGGAAGATACCAACCACGAGGACTGAGAGTGAACACAGAGCTCAGGATGATGCCTCACCTAAAAATCCAAATAAAAACCATTATGAGATTCATTTAACTCACACAAGCAACAGACTGGAATGGCCTTTGGAGACAGGAATGCTGGAACCTTCCAGGCTCCTCATGCTGAGCAGGGCCCTGGTTAATGGGTGTTCCAGAGGGAACCTGCAATCAGGTGGCAAAGCCCCACATCACCCACTAACAACCTTCCCAGGAACACCTGCAGGCACCAAAACGTTTCACCTGCTCCAAACCACAACAGAAGTCAAGAATAAAGTGGAAAGTGGTACCTGGGAAGCCCAACTGCTGGAATTTCTCAGGAAACAAGCTCTGTTTCTTCATTTTTTGAATGCCCAAAGACCTTTCACCACGG